GGGGGGGTTTTTTTTGGGGTTTTTTTTTTTTTTGGGGGGGGGGGGGGGGGGGTGGCCTGCACCGAAAAAATTATCCAGATCCAAACGACCGTCTTACGGTTCCTCGAGGTATAATTTTTTCTGAAGGGAAAAAAGAGGCTGATTCATGTTCTTGTAAGTCACAACATGCTTCAGTACACGGTTTTGGCTCGTGTGCGACCAACCAGACACCGAGCGCCCTATTTATGGGTCGCCTGCAGAGGGCATGCGTATCATCGCACGCCAGTGGTTGCAGTTTGTGGATGTCGTCGGCCAAAGGCCTCTCTCTGATGGCATGCGTTGTACACGATCACACTCGACTCGGAGCAAGCGGCAGAAAAAAAAAGCAACTTGCAAAAAAGGCAACACCGAACAACATCTCGATTCACGTTTGTTTGCAGGCCGTGTGAAATCAAAACTGGACAATACGCTCTGTTTCTGGTACGCGAGCAGAGGGTATGTGTATGACCACACGCCACTGGCTGCTGTTTGTGGATGTCGTCGGCCAAAGGCCTCTCTCTGGCATGCGTTTTTGACTGGTCGTGGGTGACACACGGAGCAAACACGCGGCGAAACAAGAAAAAAAGACCAAAAAGTCAACACCGCAACACACTTTTGGTTCACGTTTGCAGGCCGTGTGCTTTCAAAACTGGACAAGACGCTCTGTTTCTGGTACGCGAGCAGAGGGTATGAGTATAAACACTCGCCATTGGCTGCAGTTTGTGGATGTCGACGGCTTAAGGCCTCTCTCCGGCATGCGTTTCGAACTGGTCACACATGCAGCAGGCGCAAAAACGGCTCTTTTCGGCCCAAAGGCAAGAACGTCAGCAGAGCAATGTGGCACGGTTGACGTTTTCGGCTCGTGTGCGGCCAACACGACGCAGAACGCCTGGATTTTAGATACCTGCAGAGGGTTTGTGCATGACCTCATGATACTGGCCTCTGTTTGGCCAGCAGACGGTGTAGTTCCTCGTTCTGGCACGATCGGGGTGTGACCAGGAGGTACCCCCCCCCATTTCTAACAAAGCGATTTTCCAACAGGATCGCTGTTGGAAAATGGGCCAATTTTCTAACAGGCCGGCCGCAATCGCTGTTGGAAACTGCGCTGTACCTACCCGTAGGACGCCCAAATTATTTTTTTGGCTCAGAAAAGGATCCCCCCCCCAAATCCAATCTGGAAATAATTACACCGTAAGACTCAGCCTTAGTGATATTTTTGTAGTTTTTTTTTTATCTGTTATTATGAGAACATGTTCGGGATAGCGGAAGAGGCGTGTCTTCTGTACATGGAGTGATGGATGTCCACACACCTTTTGCCTGTGGCCATGGAAAAGGCGTGCCCGTCAGTTTGACCAGTACGGCTGTTATAACGGTACTCAGCAGAGACCGGAACGGTTTTGCTATTGTGAAGACGACAACAAACACTCACACCTTCTCACAATCTGCCAACTCAACTCACTGACAACGCTCTCCTCCCCGAATAAACGTCCACGCCGACGGCAAACCCTCCTATCAACTGCAAAAACCCCGGACGAACGCAGCTGGCGTTCTCGTTGGTGTCGGCCGTGTCTTCCGCGTTCATCATCGTCACCTTCTGGAGGTTCCCGCGGTTGCAGACGTTCGCCTACAAGATCATCATGATGCTGGCGGTCGCCAACCTCGGGATAGACAGCGCCTACCTCATGGGCTCCGTGGGGCACGCCAAGTAAGCAAATGCACCGGCCGCGCTCGCTAGCCTTCCACTTACTCAGGGTTGGGATGTGGAACTGCTTTTTGTGTCAGGTTTAGGGCTAGAAGAGGCCGAGGTTTGAATGTGCTGTTGTGTGTTTGTGTCTTCTCTAGCTTGGTTGCTGCCGTTGCTTGTGTGTTGCGTGGAGCGTGGTGGCGGAACGGATCAGGGGTTCGGTGTGCTTTCCGACCAATCTCCTTGAGCGTTTTTTTGCGAGAGTTGAAGTGAGATTTCTTGCGGCTTGTCTTCAAAACGGTAGTTTGCTGTTTAGAGGTTGCTTCTTTTGGACGACGACAGTTGCCGCAAAGAGGCAGTTGCTCGTACAATTCTCCAGCCGCCTTCACAACGGCACCCCGTCTGTCCCGCCGCCCGCGCTCTCTCTTTCTCTCCCCCGGCGCGTAAACAGCTGGAAGTGCTCACTCCAGGGGTTCGGGCGGGTCTACTTTGCGCTGGTGGAGTTCGCGCTGGTGACGGCCATCACCCTCACGTGCTACGTCATGGTCGTCAAGCGATATTACGGCATCCAAGAGGCAAGAGAGATGTGTTGCTGTCCTTGTTGTTGTTGGTGGTGGTGGTGGTATTAGTGGTCGTGGTAGCAACACTGTTTTCTTGGCGGTAAGGTTTCTTGATTGAACCCACCACCGAGAAGTTGGGGCCGTGGTCCAGGAAAACGGACAGCAATATGTTGACGGTGTGACAGCCTGGTCGAAACGCGGCTTTGTGGCGAAGACTGGCGGGTCTCGTTTTTCCTCGTCGCTCGGTGCATCTATCTCTGTAAGGGCCACCTAACTTTCATGCATGTGCTTGGTAAGTGTTCGGGTGGTTTCTCCGACCTCTGCTCCACTTGTACCGTCGCCGTTTTCTCGAAACACGTCGCGATCGCCATTTTTTTTGTTGTTGGCATTAGTCTCGATGCTCGATTCTGTGCTGGCGCCGGTAGCGGGGTGTTCCGTACGTGCACACGTATACGAACGGGATACCCCGCTGTTTTGGATGGCGTCCTTCCGTTGTTTCCTGCAAGTTCCGTCTTTTCACCGGCTAGCCTAGCAGCGCGGTCGTCGATGCTAGGTACATACTACCGGTAGGTTTTGCCTATACTACCACAGAACTTTCTTGGAAAGTGCGAACAGCAGAGGACTGCGCAACGACCACCCACACACATGTTCACAGGAAATGCACGCGCGTGGACACACACCCACGCCACCCTCGTCAAAAAAAAATTATAACAGCGCTTCTGGACGGTCATGGCGTACTGCTGGTTGATACCCCTGGGGATGGCGTGCCTTCCCTTCACCACCGACAACTACGGCGAAGCCGGGGCCTGGTGCTCCATCACGTCCAAGGACCTCAAGTCCCTCGAGTGGGGAACGTTCTGGCGGTTCGCCGTCATATACGTGCCCCTGTGGGTGTGCGTGGGCGTCAACGGGTACATGTGTGTAAAGGTGCACCGCGCGATGAGGTCAGTACAGCCAACCCCCCACCCAGCCTTTTCGCTCTTCTTCTTGTGTCTTTCCCCCGACAAGTCCATGTTCGTATTCCGCCCGCCCTCGTCCCCTTTTTTTGTACTGTGCCTCCTCATTTTGTGTGGCATCGCGACCGGCCAGTAGGGATTGCGGAGGGTTCTATATGAAAACCAACAGCAGAAACCAACAGCAGAAGCAGCAGCAGCAGCAGCTTTACTGGATAAGGCTTGTCTCCGCTGCTTTGAAAACTCAAGGGAGGTGCAGCAACTGCTGCCCGAGCACCCCCCCCCCCCCCCCCAAGGGGCCAAATAAATAAAACCCCCCGATTTCAGCCCGGAGCCCCCCTAAAAACCCCTGCCGATTTTTGATC